TGGCACTGCCCTGGGTATCATTCAGAAATGTAAGGTGTTGCAGAATGGAATCAGACAGAAAGCATATTACACAGAGGCTACATTCTCTGTAATGGGTGACAATTAGCTTCCAGGTGGAGTTCACATGAATGGTCTTGACCTAAAAAGCCCCAAACTCTATGAGACCTGGACCACTCCCCTCCACATGCAGTACTAGTGCATTGCAATCAGTGGAGGTGCTTGATAACGGATATACCCATATCTGCCTGAATTTGACTGAAGTGTCAAATTATGCATACACGATAATATCAACAAAGATCCCGTGGGGAACGAACCCACTGTTATCACTTTCACTTATAACCTAAACATTAAACCACGTTTCCAGTCATATTCTTTTGCCCTACACACACACATGGACACTTCCAACAACATCCTGTGGCCTGTACTCCTCGGACAGTAATTGGACTAAAACACAAAAATAAGATCTTAAGGTCATTGACATCATGTGCTACAAATACGGAATGCTGGGAATTTCCAAACTTTTGAAGAAAATCTGGACAGCTATCAGTGAAGCTGAAGTTTGGCATGTTGTACTCAAATCCACCGGATGTGGGATTTCATGTTATTTTTTATTATTTAAACATACTCAATTTCGAGAAAATCCAAGCACTCCAAATCAAATAAAAGCGACTTGCCCATTCTGGAAGAATCTGCACCTATTTTATTAACACTACTAGCATCATAAAAGACTGCTGCATGTTCTGAACAAGGTTTTTAAAGGGCAACTTATCAAACATTGGAATTCTCAACGTTTACTCTCAGATAAGAATATGGGTTATTCTTGGACCCATTAAAACAATGCACAAAACATAAAGCTATGTAAAAACATTTAAATTTGTTTCTACACACACTGCATCCTCACAACCCAGAAAACAATCAACACACACTGGAAAACCATGAACATTAGATCATTTGCAGAGTTCCCTTCAACATGTCCTCATGGAAATAGTCCCATTTATTAATGACTGCAGGAGCATAAGAACAGGAGCATAAGACCAATGCTAGCTCAGTGCCAGATGCTTCAGAGGGAAAAGAGCAGAACAAGGCAATTTCAAGTGATCCTTTCCCTGTCACCCAGTCCCAACTTCTGGCAATCAGAGGTTTAGGGATACCCAGAGCATGGGGTTGCATCCCTGACCATCTTGGCTAATAGCCGTTGATGAACCTAATTCTTTTTTGAACCAGGTTATATTTTTGGCCTTCACAACAACCTATGGCAGCAAGTTCCACAAGCTGATGGTGTGTTGTATGAAGAAGTACTTCATTGTGCTTTTTAAAAGACCTGCTGCCTATTAATTTCATCGAGTGACTCCTAGTTCCTGTGTTATGTGAAGGGGTACATAACACTTCCCTATTCACTTTCTCCTCACCGTTCATGATTTTATAGACCTCTATTATATCCCCCCTTTATTGTCTCTTTTCTAACCTGAACGAGTCCCAGTCTTTTTAATCTGTCCTCGGATGGAAGCTGTTCCATACTCCTAATAAATTTCATTGCCCTTCTCTGCATCTTTTCCAATTTTAATAGATCTTTTTTGAGACAGGGTGACAAGAACTGCATGCAGTACTCAAGGTGTGAGTGTACCATGGATTTAAATAGTGGCATTATGATATTTTCCTTTTTATTATCTAACCCTTTCCTAATGGTTTCTAACATTGTTAGCTTTTTTGACTGCCACTGCACACTGAGCAGACGTTTTCCCGAGAACCATCCACTATGACTCCAAGATTTTTGTTTTTGTTTTTTTTGAGTGGCAACAGCTAATTCAGAACCCATCATTTTGTATGTGTAGTTGGGATTATGATTTCCCATGCACGTTACTTTGAAATTCACTGTTGATCAGTGCATTTCATCTGCCATTTCGTTGCCCAGGCACCCAGTTAATGAGATCCTTTTGTAACTCTTCGCAGTCAGCTTTGGACTTAAATGTCTTGAGTAAGTTTGTACTGTCTGCAAATTTTGCCACCTCACTGTTCACCCCTATTTCCAGATGACTTATGAATATGTTGAACAGCACAAGTCCCAGTACAGATCTTTGGGGGATTTATTCCTCCCCTTTGCTTCCTATCATTTAACCAGTTACTAATCCACGAGAAGACTCTCTCTCTTATCCCATGACTGCTTACTTTGCTTAGGAGTCTTTGGTGAGGGACCTTGTCAAGGACTTTCTGAAAGTCCAAGTACACTATAATAGACTGGATCACTTTTGTCTACATGCTTGTTGACTCTATCAAGGAATTATAACAGACTGGTGAGGCATTCCCTTTACAAAAGTTGGGTTGACTCTTCCCCAGCTATCATGTTCATCTACGGTCTGATAATTCTGTTTCTTTTCTATCGTTTCAACCAATTTGTCTGGTACTGAAGTTAGTTTTGCCGGTCTGTAATTGCCGGGATTGACTCTGGAGCCTTTTTTAAAAATAGGCATTACATTAGCTACCCTCCAGTCATCTGGTACAGAGGCTGATTTAAGCAATTGGCTACACACTGCAACTAGGAGTTCTGCTATTTCATATTTGAGGCCTTCAGAACTATTGGGTGAACACCATCTGGTCCTGGTGACTTATTACTGTTTAATTTATCAATTTGGTCCAAAACCTCCTCTACTCACATCTCAATCTGTGACAGTTCCTCAGATCTGCCACCTAAAAAAATGGCTTATGTGTAGGGATCTCCCCCATATCCTCTACAGTGAAAACTGATGCAAAGAATTCATTTAGTTTCTCCGGAATGGCCTTGTCTTCCTTGAGTGGTCCTTTAGCACCTTGATCATCCAGTGGCCCCACTAACTGTTTGGCAAGCTTCCTGCTTGTGATGTACTTAATTTTTTTGCTGTAAGTTTTTGTGTCCTTAGCTAGTTGCTCTTCAAATTCTTTCTTGGCCTGCCTTACTAAACTTTTACACTTGACTTGCCACAGTTTATGCGCCTTTCAAGATTTTCTCACTAGGATTTGACTTCCAATTTTTAAAGGATGCCTTTTTGTCTTTAACCATCTCTTTTACTTTGCTGTTTAGCCATGGTGACACTGTTTGGGCCTCTTATTGTTTTATTTAATTTGGCGTATACATTTAGTTTGAGACTCTATTACGGTGTTTTTAAATAGACTTCATGCAATTTGCAGGCATTTCACCTTTGCGACTGTTCCTTTTAATTTCCGTTTAACTAGTGTCCCCATTTTTATGTAGTTCCCCTTTTTGAAGTTAAATGCTATCATGGTGGGCTTCTTTGGCATTTTCCCCTTACCGGGATGTTAAATTTAATTACATTATGGTTGCCATTACTGAATGGTTCAGCTACGTTCACCTCTTGGATCAGATCTTGTGCTCCACTTAGGGCCAAAAATCAAGAATTCCCTCTCCCTCTGTGGGTTCCAGGACTAGCTGCTCCAAGCAGCAGTCGTTTTTGGTGTCTAGAAATGTTATCTCTGCATCCCTTCCTAAGGTGACATATTCTCAATCAATATGAAGATAGTTGAAATCCCTCATTATTAATGTGTTTTCTGCCTTTGTAACCTCTCTACTCTCTCTGAGCATTTCACAATCACGGTCACTGTCCTGGTCAGGTGGTCAGCAATATAGTCCTACTGCCACTCTCTTACTGTTCAAGCATGGAATTTCTATCCATAGAGAGTCTACGGTACAGTTTGATTTATCTAGGATTTTTACTTTATTTGACTCTATGCTTTCTTTCACATATAGTGCCACTCCCCACCAGCACAACCTACTCTGTCATTTCTTTATATGTTGTACCCTAATACTACCATGGTCCCATTGATTATCCTCATTCCACTAAGTTTCCGCCACAACTATTATGTCAATATCCTCATTTAATGCCACACACTCTAGTTCATCTACCTTAGTATTTACATTTCTAGCATTTGTATACAAGCACTTGTACGTTTTATCTATATTAAGTTGCTTGCCTTCATGTGTTGTATTTAAATGGGACTCTTACGTTTGACTGTTCCTCACTAGCCTCTACTTGTGCTTTAACAACTTCTTTCCTATCCTACTTAGTAGGAAATACAGTTCCTCCGTGAATAATTCATCCCTAAGGGATGTCTCCTCCTGAATCATGTGCTCCTCCACACCCATCAGCTTAAAACATTCTCTACAAGCTTTTTAATTTTACATGCCAGCAATCTGGTTCTGCGTTAGTTGAGGTGGAGCCTATCCTTCCTATATAGGCTCCTACTTTCCCAAAAGGTTCCCCAGTTCCAAATAAATCTAAAACCCTCCTCCCGACACCACTGTCATCTACGCATTGAGACTCTGCAGTTCTCCACTGCAGGACCTTAACTGCCTAGCTATTCTTCCCCTTGAAAAGCACATGTAAACATGACTCTGATTCATGTGGATGGACATTTGTGCGATGAGGGGAGAGAAGAATTTATACAGGAGCTATTTTTAAAATCACATTAAATCTAATATAATGCCCTGCTCAAAATATTTTATTAATTCCAGTTTTCAATGTAAGTTCAGAAAGGCACCCCACATTCGTGTTCCTCTAATACGATAATGGCCAAATGATTTAAATGAAGTGTGTGTGGGTGCGTAACTCCTGAACTGAGGTCTCGGATAATGAACGTTAGCCCTTAGCAATTTTTTCTTTTTAATCTGCCAAGTAATAAACAGAATTTTACCACTGAGCTATCAAACTGCCAGCAGCGTCACTAACTGCAGCACTATAAATGACACCACTCTGAGGAAAAAGGAACCCAACATCACTCTTTAGGTGCCTTGCCTTTGCCTCAATAGCATAATTTAAAAAATGAAGTGCAATGTCTGGGCTAGTAACCTAACCCAAACTCCCTTTGATGTCAAAGGAGTTACAGATGCTCAGCAACTTACAATGTGTGCTCAACACCTCATAGGACTTGGGTCCCAACCAAATAGCAAAATATCGAAATCCATACAAAGGACATAATTACAAATGACTATACTGCAGTTGTTAACTCACATCATTCACTATGTTCTTCTACAGGGAGTCCTGGATTATCCTTTACCATAAAGATTTTTCAGAAACCGCCTGATTGTTTGCAGGTCCCCAGTGCCTTCTCTCTTTCAAATAATGTAAGAAATACCTGAAAACAAACAAACAAAAACAGGTGAGGAATAGAGAGAAAAGAACCCAGACAATTGCCTAACAAATAAATGAACAGTTGATTTCTATAGCTCACTGAACCAAATGCATTTTAATGAGCTGATGAGGAGGAGAATCCACTACAGAATGTGCAAACACTGATCCAGAATGTAAAGAGCCCCTCTTGTTACCAACAATTAAAGCACAGAACAGTTACTCCACAAACTGTATGATTCTGAAGCTAAGTCATAATTAAAAAAATTCTAGGATATTTTTATCATCATGATGAGAGGGGGAAAAAACTACTCTGGGTTTTTGTTTGGTACATATGCACAAATTAAGCCCCAATAGGATCCCCACTGGTGGATTTTTATGTTTCCGCTGAATTCTATCACTGGGACTCTGTGGAGCTGTAAGGGTCAATACCCACCAATGCTTCTGCAGGATCAGGGCCATTACTTGGAATATGTCACATGTATACATCATAATATTCCATTTGCAGCAGCAAACACACTGCACATGTTTGTTGTGCTGTGAAATTTTCCACTTGGATGTCATCCAGACCCACCCACAAAGAATAACACTCAGACACACACTATAAAGTGCCACAGTGCAGCAGCACTTAGGGAGTATTAAAACCAAACACACACACACACACACACACCCAAAGCTGTACTTCTGTCTTAATAAGTATTTTCCACACCTGAATTTTTGGATATTATTATTTTTTTCTTTTTATATGTGACCTGAGCCAGGAACATCTCTTCTTAGGCCAACTCTGACTAACTTTTCTGACCTTCTGTACCCTTGAGATGCATATCTGAGGTTTAAGAAATTGCATAAATGGGTTTGGGGAATATGAAAAACATGCCATTTTAAGTGCCAAACTAGAGTTTCACCCCCAGGTCATGCCAAATCCTTTTTCCAAGTGTAAATTATGCACAGAGAATACAAGTGGAAGATTATATGACAGACACACATCTATTTGCTAGTAGTTTCTGGTAGGCTAACAGCCATTTTGCACTTCTTAAGAAGAACAGGCAGGGCTCAAAGATTTTATCTGAGTCCAGCAAAAGCACCAGGCTGCAGTCCTAAGACGACAACGGAAAATATATTTCAGAGTGGTAGTCGTGGTAGTCTATATCAGTAAAAACAATGAGGAGTCCTTGTGGCACCTTAGAGACTAACAAATTTATTTGGGCATAAGCTTTCGTGGGGTATAACCCAGTTCATCAGATGAATGGAGTAGAAAATACAGTAAGCAGGTATAAATATACAGCACATGAAAAGATGGGAGTTGCCTTACCAAGTAGGGGGTCAGTGCTAACGAGGCCAATTCAATCAAAGTGGATGTGGCCCATTCCCAGCAGTTGACAAGAAGGTGTGAGTATCAATAGAGGGGAAATTATTTTTTGTAGTGACCCAGCCACTCCCAGTCTTTATTTAGGCCTAATTTGATGATGTCAAGTTTGCAAATTAATATGCAGCAATACTGCAGAGGCTGTGGTATGTGTTACAGACTCCCTTATCGTGTCTGTCTCTACGAAGCAAAGTGCATCTGCCTCTGAATGTTTCCAACCTTTTTTATGGTTAAAGGCTTAAGGGCTAGATGGTGCAAATTGCCTTGAGAGCATGTGGGTAGGGAAGCACAATCCCTTCCCAAATAGCAGAGTGTTCATCCTTTAGTTGGTGCAGCCTGTTCATCACCATGCACACCCAACTGTCTTCCCCCGCAGCGCTGTGCACTCATTGGAACATACAGTGGGATTGTAACTCTGAGTGGCTGTTGGTGGGGCATGCATGAGCCCAGGGAACCTCCAAGGCCTGGTCTACACTATGAGTTTAATTCAAATTTAGCAGCATTAAATCGAATTAACCCTGCACCCGTCCACACAACGAAGCCATTTCTTTCAAAATAAAGGGCTCTTAAAATCAATTTCTGTACTCCTCCCCGACGAGCGGAGTAGCGCCAAAATCGATATTGTCATTTCGAATTAAGAGTTAGTGTGGCCGCAATTCGATGGTATTGGCCTCCGGGAGCTATCCCACAGTGCACCGTTGTGACCGCTCTGGACAGCAATCTGAACTCGGATGCACTGGCCAGGTAGACAGGAAAAGCCCCGCGAACATTTGAATTTTATTTCCTGTTTGCCCAGCACAGGAGAGCACAGGTGACCACAGACAGCTCATCAGCACAGGTAACCATGCAGGCCGATAATCGAAAAAGAGCACCAGCATGGACCGTACGGGAGGTACTGGATCTGATCGCTATATGGGGAGAGGATTCAGTGCTAGAAGAACTTCGTTCGAAAAGACGAAACGCCAAAACTTTTGAAAAAATCTCCAAGGGCATGATGGAGAAAGGCCACAATAGGGACTCAGATTAGTGCCGCGTGAAAGTCAAGGAGCTCAGACAAGCCTATCAGAAAACAAAGGAGGCAAACGGTCGCTCCGGGTCAGAGCCACAGACATGCCACGTCTACGCTAAGCTGCATGCAATTCTGGGGGGGCCGCCACCACTACCCCAAACCTGACCGTGGATTCCGAGGTGGGGGTAATCTCATCAGCCACACCTGAGGATTCTGCGGACAGGGAAGAAGAGGAGGAGGAGGACGACGAGCTTGCAGAGAGCACCCAGCACTCCGTTCTCCCCAACAGCCAGGATCTTTTTCTCAGCCTGACTGAAGTACCCTCCCAAGCCAGTAGCCAAGACCATGACCCCATGGAAGGGACCTCAGGTGAGTTTACCTTTTGAAATATAAAACATGGTTTAAAAGCAAGCGTTTTTTAATGATTAATTTGCCCTGAGGACTTGGGATGCATTCGCGGCCAGTACAGCTACTGGAAAAGTCTGTTAACGTGTCTGGGGATGGAGCGGAAATCCTCCAGGGACATCTCCATGAAGCTCTCCTGGAGGTACTCCAAAAGCCTTTGCAGAAGGTTTCTGGGCAGTGCAGTCTTATTCCGTCCTCCATGGTAGGACACTTGACCACGCCATGCTAGTAGCAAGTAATCTCGTATCATTGCATGACAAAGCCTGGCAGAGTATGGTCCCGGTGTTTGCTGGCATTCAAGCAACAGCCGTTCTTTATCTCGCTGTGTAATCCTCAGGAGAGTGATATCGCTCATGGTAACCTGGTTGAAATACGGGAATTTAATTAAGGGGACAGAGGTGGCTGAAAAGAAATCCCTCCCTGTAGTAAGCCAAGCGCGGGGGAGGGGGGGAGGGGGATTGGCACTGAGCTTTTCACGTGTGGCTAGCAGGGATCTTCCCTGATACCAGCCACACGGTGGGGGGAGGGATAAAGCGATCATCCCAGAGAATTGGATGGGGGGGGTAGTTTGTTTTCTGCTGCTGAAGGTTAACAGGAAAACCACAGCACTCAACGAGCTTTGCTTGGTATGTGGGAAAGGAGGGCGCAGAAGCCGAAAGACAATGGCTTACCATGGCCGCATGCAAGCCGAATTCTGTTGCCCGGACCTGCGTCTGTGATCTGTAGCAGCAAAGCCACAGGCACTCAATATTAAAAGGCAAAATGTGACCTTGCACAGAAATCACATGTGCTATGTAATGTGAATAGTGTTGTTCACCGCGAAAGAGTATAAGCATTGTTCTGTAAAATGTATCTTTTTAAAAAATTCTCTCCTTTTTTCCCTCCCTCCAGCAGCTGCAAATTTTTCAAGCCTCCCTCCTCCATCCCGAAGGCTATCTCAGATAAGGCGTCGGAAAAAGAGAACGCGAGACAAGATGTTCGCGGAAATCATGGAATCCACCCGCAATGAAGGAGCTCATCTAAATGAGTGGAAGGACACGGTTTCAAAGTATAGGAAAGATGCCAGTGAACGTGAGGACAGGAGGGACCAACGTGAGGACATGAGGGACCAACATGAGGACAGAAGGGACCAACGTGAGGAGAGGAGAGACGCTCGAGATGAGAGGTGGCGGCAGGAAGATCAGAGGAGGCAGGATGCAACGCTGGGGCTGTTGCGTGAGCAAACAGACATGCTCCGGCGTCTGGTGGAGCTTCAGGAATGGCAGCAGGATCACAGAAAGCCGCTGCAGCCCCTGTATAACCACCCTCCCGCCTCACCATGTTCCATAGCCTCCTCACCCAGATGTGTAAGAACGCAGGGGGGAGGCTCCGTGCACCCTCCCATTCCACCCCAGTGGACAGCCCAAGCAAAAGGCTGTCATTATTTTAACCTTTTTTTAGTGGCCTTTTCCTTCCCTCCGATCCTCCTCCCAAACCCCACCCGGGCTACCTTCTCAGTTCTCTCCCTCTTTTTATAATCAATTAATAAAGAATACATGATTTTTAAACGATAGTGACTTTATTTCCTTTGAAAGCAAGCTGTGATCGAAGGGGGAGGGTGGATTGCCTACAGAGAATGAGTCAATAAAGTGGGGGGGTTTCATCAAGGAGAAACAGACAGAACTTTCACACGGTAGCCTGGCCAGTCATGAAACTGGTTTTCAAAGCTTCTCTGACGCGACGCGCTTCCTGGTGTGCTCTTCTAATCGCCCTGGTGTCTGGCTGCGCGTAATCAGCAGCCAGGCAATTTGCCTCAGCCTCCCACCCCGCCATAAAGTTCTCCCCCTTACTCTCACAGAGATTGTGGAGCACACAGCAAGCAGCAATAACAATGGGGATATTGGTTTGGCTGAGGTCTGACCGAGTCAGTAAAGTGCGCCAGCGACCTTTTAAATAGCAAAATGCACATTCCACCACCATTCTGCACTTGCTCAGCCTGTAGTTGAACAGCTCCTGACTCCTGTCCAGGCTGCCTGTGTATGGCTTCATGGGCCATGGCATTAAGGGGTAGGCTGGGTCCCCAAGGATAACTATAGGCATTTCAACATCCCCAACGGTTATTTTCTGGTCCAGGAAGTAAGTCCCTTGCTGCAGCCGTTTAAACAGAGTAGTGTTCCTGAAGACGTGAGCGTCATGAACCCTTCCCGGCCAGCCCACGTTGATGTTGGTGAAATGTCCCCTGGGATCC